AGCGCGGTGCTGTCTCAGCGCTCGGGGTCCTGTGCCGTGGACGGGCTCGGCTGCTGTCCTGTGGCGCTGCGTCCAGTGCCGGCACGGGCTGCGTGGGGCCGCTGGCCTCGGGCACTCTGCAGCCCTGCTGGCACATGGATCCTGGGGCTGGCCGGCGTCCCTCCTGTCCCCCTGGTCTGCTGCTGGCACCTGTCTGCTGCCAGGGCACTGAAAACTCATGGCTCCGTCCATGCTGGGAGCCTCATCCCTCCATCCCCAGCCACCAGGGCGTTCTGAGACGCCGCAGTGCCCGTGCCTCATCCACGCTGGGCGTGTGGCTCGCTGCAGCGGTCTCCCAGACTCGGGCCCCTCTGCAGAGCGACAGCACCTTCCAGCCCAGTTGGGATGGGGAACGCAGCCGTCCCGTCCTCCAGGCTGCACGTCCCCTCATGACAAACCCCTCGCATCTGCAGGCGGCTGGAGCAGCAACACCAGCGCCAGCTGGGTCTGGAGGAGCGGAGCAGTTGGGCAGTCACAGTTCAGACTTCTTTTCTGTTTTGGGGCTCCGCCCTGAGCTTCACACGGGGGAGCAGCCAGCAGTGGAAAGTTCCCTGGCTTTGGGACTGCCCTCCAGCACAGCTGTTGTTCAGCTGCTCTCGGCGTTTTGTTAATTTAAGCCAGATGTTCATTGCCATAATATTTGCAACGTGAGCGTGACTCATAAAAGAAGTCCTGGTAGGAGACTGACTTGCTCCTGTCCCCCGGCACCTGCCCCGGGCCAGCATTGCAAAAGCACGATGTCCTCGTTGCATCCCAGCTCTCGGAGCTGTGCTTCCCCAGGCTCCCGTGGCACAGGGGGCTCCAGCAGCGTCCCCTTCCCGCCCGGAGGGTGAATTCAAATGCTGTAACCTTTCATTTGCGTTAGGGACGCACACGGCACCAGTCAAACCCAGCGTAGTCATGGGGCGCGCTGCTGAGGAGGCGGCTGAAGGTGCGTGACTGCCTCGGAGCACCGGTGGCTTCTGTTTTCCTGGTCTCGTTCTCAGAAAAGTTCCTCCATCGGTCGCCGTTTCAGCAGTGGCAGCCAGAATCCATGTGCTGGTGGGATCTGGTGGAGGTCGAGCCCTTCCTTGGGTGCAAGCGCCCTGCCTGCAGCCCTCTGTCACCAGAGGCTGTATCTGAGGCTCTGTTTTATGCTATTTTATGTGAATGTCTTTTGTTCTTTCTGTAGGAATAACGCCAAGGGGCTGGTATCGATGGGTGCAGCATGTGGGAACCTTTCCCTCTGGACAGGCTGCTTGGGTAAAGCTGCCGCTGTGCTGTTACTGCGGTGAAGTCGGCCGCCTGCGCGGGGTGCGGCACCGTGGATGTGCCCTGGTGCTGCTGGGGGCCTCGGCTGAGGGCTGTGCCCGGGTTCTGCACTGCATTGAGAAACAGGTAGCAGAAAAACTGTAGAGAATTGCAGGGAATGCATTAAAACCAGTAGTAGCTTTAAGAATATGATCCTTGGTGGGGCGGCAGGGGAGGTGGTGTCAGCCGAGGGAACTCTCAGCGTTCCTCAGCGTGGTTAAGGTGTAGGGGAGACTGCAGCCTGTCACCTCTCTCAGGGGACAAGGGGATGGCAGCAGTAAGTGGCTTTAGATGCAGGCAGGGGATCTGGACGAGGCTGTGGGAGGAGGAGGGATGGGGGCAGCAGGGACGGTGCAGCACTGCAGTGGGCTTGGGGAGGTCGCTAGGGTGGGCTGGACAGACGCCTGCTGGGGTGATCCACGCGGTCTGGTCCCGCCTCGGCAGGGCAGTGCGTGGTTCCTCATCTCTTGGAGTCCTTCCCTGCGGACATTCCTGTGATTCAGTGACACCCTGAAGCCCAGAGCTTGCCAGAGCACTCTAAAGAGATGAGATCCGTGTGGCAGATGTCACAGCAGGGCTTGGGAAGGGACGAATGGAGGTGGCCCCGCTTCATTACAGGAGCAACTTCCAGTCCCTGGGAGCGAGGCGCTGTGCGAAGTGCGGCTGGGCAGGAGCTTGCGAGGTTGCTGCTCTGATTCCTGGCCCAAAGCCTGGTTACCTGTGTCTGCGTCACTCCTGACGGGCGTCTGTGCGATGGGTTCCGATGTCTCCGGCGATGGAGGTGCCGTGGTCTCTGCAGCCTCGCCTGATGCTCAGCACTCTTCGGGAGATGTTCCCTCAGAATTGCTTTCTGCAGAATTCCTCGCTCCACGCTGCAGTGCGGCTGCTCTTGGGAGACAGGACGCCAGATGATGCGGCTGAGGGTCGGATCCAGTCTGGCAGCTCGCGTGTTCCTGTGACCTTGGCGCAGATGGCAGAGCTGCAGCTTTGGCGGATTGTCAGGCGCCTTCTGCTCGGTTTCAGGCATTGGTGCCCGTTGGCTTGGAAGGGAGGGAGCTGGATGCATCCCGTCGTCTGCCCGGGAAGCAGACATGGTGTGGGCAGGGGCATCCTTCAGCCGATGCTCAGGCTGGGCGACTGCTCCGCACGTTCAGCACCGTGCAGCTGGGAGGGTGCACTGCTGAATTGGAGACTTCACTGTCCGAAAGGTGCAAAAAAGTTGAGGACCTCCAGCTAAGAGAGGGGGCTGCTGGGTGCAGCTGCTTATGCAGCTTGGTGATGATGGGCTGTGTCACTGACGGGCTGAGGTGGAGGAGGGGGCGGTGGTGGAACCTCTGGGCTTATGAAAGGATGGAGAAGGGAGAGGAAGGGGCTTGGCTGAGGTTTGTCTGTGCTGTGGTGGTGCCTCGTGGCAAGGTGGGATGTAGCTGTGTCCTAGGGCTGTGGCAGTGACCGGGGCTGGGTGCATCCGTGGGGAACTGGAGAGGAGACGGGGTGTTCCAGAAAATGGTAAGGGCATGCTGTGATGGAGGATGAGGGGTTGAGGAGAGGGCAGAGTCCAGAAAGCTGGTGGGATTTTGGAAGAGTCAGGCCAGTGGAGTCAAAGGGTTCCCTGGACGAGGAGGGGGAAAAGGAGGTGCTGATCTTATGATGTTCTCTGGAGAGGCTTGGGGAGGCAGGAGACCTTGGCTGGTTTAGCAGACAGAGCTTTCAGAAAGGTAAAAATAATTTTAAGGGGGAGTGAAGCATCTTAGCATTTGTTTTTTTTTTTTT